CTTTAGTATAGAGTAATAGATTAAATATTGTTTAAATTTCAAATAGGAAAAACAAAGGAAATGGAAAGAGTAAAAGTTGGCTTTAAATATTGAAATAAACAAAACTTTTTTATTTAAAAGAATTAATACTGTTTTTTAATCCCAACTTTCACCAATTTATTTTCATTATTAATCCCAACTTTGGATTATTCCTCAATAATCCCAACTTTAAGGTGGCCTATCATTCTTCAATCCCAAAAACCGGTGACCGGTTGAATGGGTTATTTCTTTTTAATTTTTTAAAAAGTGACACGTGTCACAAGTTAATTGGTTAATGAAAATTTAATTAAAAAAAATATAAAAATTAATCAGAAACCTTAAAAATTAATTTTTTTTTTTTCAGAAAACCCCCTTCCCTTCCCTGGCCACCCCTGCCACACCGTCCACCAGAAGCCTAGCCTCACCGTCCACCGGAAAATTCACACCTTTCTTCCCGCCGATCAGCCGCCCAATTCCACACACGCTACAACCACAAAAACAACAACAAACACCAGCAGCTCAACCCAAACAATCGCACAACTCGCAAACACCAAACAACCACCATCACCACCAGCCTAATTCGTCAGCCGCAGCACCCATCTCCACCTCAACGTCGATTCGCCACCTACAATCAGCAATTCAAATCAGCTCCAATCCCAGCCACCCAACCCACCACCACCCACGACCCTGTCTTCATCCCGCCACCCACGGCCCTGTCTTCATTCCGCCAACCCAAACTCATCAACAACAGCCCCACATCAACCTACAGCCGCCCAAAACAATATCACCTATCCGCCACCAAATTGCTCCAATCCACCATCAATTATATCAATTTGGTAGTTAAATACAACAATTCCGGCCTCCAATCGAAGCAACAACTTCGAATTGTGCTCCAATTTGAATACCCAAACGGTGCGTCGTGCTCTCGAGACGGTTTGGGTGGGTTTTTTTGGCTGTTTTTCGATAACGTGGGTGGGTTTTTTCTGGAATTCGAGGGGTTTGGTGTTCGATTGGGTGGTCGGAAGTCATGGAGGAGAAAGGGAAAGGAAGAGGAAAGGGAATTTCAGGTGGGTTTCGGGTAAGGTTTTCAAGGGGAAGTGGAAGGGCGGCCGGAAATGGAGGGGACGGGGGACTGCTGGAGAAATGGAGGGGATGGTGGTTGCCATTAATGGAGGTGGAGGGGGAGGGGCTGTTAAAGGTGATGTGGGAAATAAAAAATAATAGTTTTTTTATTAAAAATATAATGAAAAAATAAAAGGAATTTTTTTTTTTTTCTGTTTTTTTCTTTTTTAAAAAGAAAATTTGGTTGAGTCAAAAAAAAAAAATGGACCACTCACGTGACGACACGTGTCCAGCAACTTACAATAGAAGGTTGTTGGCTTTTGTTGACCGGTTTGGGTATGAAGAAAGATAGGCCACCTTAAAGTTGGGATTATTAAGGAATAATCCAAAGTTGGGATTAATAAAAATAAATTGGTGAAAGTTGGAATTAAAAAACAGTATTAATCCTATTTAACATGTAAAATAATATTTTTTAGGGTATAAATATCCATAAAAATTTGTTAAACGTTTTACAAGCTAGGAATTTGAGGCATACGGCAGACACCACTGATATATGCTGGACTACCACAGATTTGAATGGATTTCAAGAGCATTTATACAAGCAACACCATTAATAAATAAGATTTGTCAAAAAAAAAAAAAACCTTTTAAAAGTACCATTTTGTGGAAAAAATATTTGAAAAGCTTTTTGGCGGTTAAAAAAACCACCACGTTCATTTTTTTTTTTTTTTGCGAGAGGAAACCTATTTCTTTAATTACCCTCTAATTAACTTAATTATACTCTAATATCCTCCTATTTCTTCTAATTAACCTCTAACCCACCAAATTACTAAACAATTAGATTTAATTTATATATAAAGAAATCACCAGTCCCAACCACCAACCAATCATTCCCTTCCCTTCCTCCTCCCTTTCCCCCTCCCTTTTGCAGCAACCCTTCCCCCATCGGACCCGCCGCCCAGATCCCCCTACCTCCGGCGACCTACCTCCACTGCGGCTGACCCTCCATTTCCCCCCTATCCCCGTCTGCGACCACCACCTCACTTCGAATTGTTGGCTCTTATTTACTCAAACATGCTCAAATCAAGTCCAAAACAATTGCAATTTGCTTCTAAATCACCCTAGCATCACATACATACATAATGAAAGCCAAAACAAGCATCAAATTGCAAGTAAGATGCACAAAATAAAAACCCTCAAATCGATTTTCTAGTTTTTTCAAAATTAAGGAGGTGGTTGGCACTGGTGGGGATAAGGGGGAAAAGGAGGGTCGACCGACGATGGAGGTAGGTTGCCGGAGGTGGAAGGATCTAGGCGGAGGGTTCGGTGGGGAAGGGGGTTGCTGCCGCCTGCCAGGGTAGGGGGAAAGGGAGGAGGTGGTGGTTTTTTTTATATATTAATCAAATCTAATTATTTAGTAATTTGGTGGGTTAGAGGTTAATTAGAAGAAATGGGAGGAAATTAGAGTGTAATTAAGTTAATTAGAGGGTTATTACAGAATTAGGTTTCTTCTCGCAAAAAAAAAAAAAATGAACATGGCGGTTTTTTTTAACCAAAAAACTTTTAAAGGGGTTTTTTTTTTCCGTAAAATGGTGTTTTTATAAGATTTTTTTTGACAAATTTTCCTAATAAATATTGAACACCATCAAAATATTTTGTAATTGTCAAAAAAAATAATTTAGGCACCACTAATATATGCTAGCCTACCAAAAATTCGAAGGGATTTTAATGAGCATTTATATAACACCATTATTAAACATCGGACACCATAAAAAAAATATTGGACACCATAAAAAATGTAGGAGATATCTGGGTATAGGAGTGTCCATTCAATTTTCGGTTTGGATTTAGGCCAAATCCAATCTCATCCGAAATAAATTCGGTTTTCAATTTTCAAATTCAATCCGAATTTCCCACCAAATCCAATGCGAATTAAAACTTAGTTGTTTAGATCCGATCTGAAAATCCAAATAACAATACATTAGAAATTTTTAGTGTCTAATGTGATTACAAAAATAAAAACATGATTATAAAAAAATCAATTCTTGAAAGCACATTGGTACATGATTTAACAAGGGTTGAAAACATGGTTTTACATAATTAGTATTAAAAAACTATAAACATACTTTAACATGAGAGTGAGGCATACCTCAAGTGGTTAGAGCCTCCCTTCCGATTCTTGGAAATCTCGGGATCGGTTCTCATCACCCACCCTTGTGGCTTAGTTTCATATTTCGGTTATTTAGGTTTTTTAGATCTAAAGAAGGTCAATCCGATCCAAAAATCTGAATTATTAAAAAATTTCAATGTGATCCGATCCGATTTAAAATTCGAATCCAATTCGAATTAACAAGTCGATTTGGATTGAATTGGATTTCAATTTTAATCCAAATAATTAACACCCCTATTTGGGTATCCCTCAAATTGTCCATTTAGAGGGTGTTTGTTTGTAGGGATTGTAGGTGGGATAGGGATTGATAATCCCTTGTGATTAAGGGATTTTTCCCCCGCCACGTGGACCACTCAAGCCCTGCCACGTGTCCGCCATGTGGACCACTCAAGCCCTACCACGTGGACAAACCAAAGTCTGCCACGTGTCACCTCGTGAGATGTCCAAGGTGGACCAATCAGGCCACGACACGTGGCAGACATATAGCCAACCAGGAAACTAGCCTCTAACGACCCAAATTCCTAGGCAAAGCCTAGTTAGTCCTAGGAACACTAAAATCTAGTACTGGGCACGTTTTCCAACACCGTACCCTATTAAAGGGAGATGTTTCCCCCTCGGGAACATAATTAATTGGCATACACATTGACTCACAATTTCAGAGAAAGTCAGACACCTGACACCTCGAACTGAGCAATTACACATTGCAGATACTCTCTTGGAATCCAACGGAGACCTTTTACTTTCCGCACTTTACTCCTCAAACACGTTCTAACTTGATCTTCGGAGGCGGAACTCCCACCCACAGGAGTCTCCGTTGTTTTGCAGGTGCAGGCGTCCAGAGGTCAATCTTGGAATTGTAACTTTCCCGCAGGACATCAAAAAAACCCCAAAACACCTTGCATCCAATAATCCCTTGTTTCTTTAATGGGAATTGTTCTATCCCACATGAAAGGGATAGGGATAAAAAGTAGTGTTATCCCTCTATTTTTATAAGGAAAATTTGTTAAAAAAAACCTTATAAAAGCCTCATTTGCAAAAAAAAATCTTTTTAAACGGATCTTTGTTAAAAAAAACCACCACGATGACTTTTTTTGTTTAATTAAACCTCCACTTACTTTTCCGGCATTGATTGCTCAATTCAGGCATTGACTCTTTCTTTTCCCTACTTACACCCAATTCTTTGTATATTTGCACTCCCCCTTTATTTTTCCCCTCTTAGTTTCCCTCCAAAGTCTTTCCCATGTATTCCCTCTCTCCTTCTTCCATGGATGCTCTGCAGTTCTATCACATCAATTTGGGTTTCTCTCTCTCTCTCTCCTCCGCTGCTCGCCATTAATACTTCAACAATAACATTAGGTAAGTTTAAATTCATCAATTTATTACTAGAATTAGTATAAAAATTGGGGCTTTTTTAATACAAGTGAGAAACTCACATTGTTATCAATGGCTAAAGGAGGAAGAAAGGGGTCGTTTGGACGCAAATCAAGGTATCCTAATTACATAGTGAAGTACGAACCCTTAATTTCGTACTGAATTGCAGAAATTGCGTGAAACTGGGTAGGGTTTAACAGATAAATTCGAAAAAAACAAACCTAATTGTTGCTTGTTGGTGGTGATTTTGAAGTGTGATGCTTAAATAAAATCTAGAAACTTTGATGGATTGTTGAATTTGTTGACTAAAATTGTTCAATTATTGCCCTAATTTGTTGAACTTTTTTTGAAAAGAACGCACAATAACAGAACTATTACATAACATAAAAAACGCGCAAGAAGAGAACTATGAGATAGAGAAGAGAGAAGAACGTTGGTTTGAGTACTACAATGTTGAAGTCAGCACTTCAATGAGGAAGAAATAGATTAAGAACTTTAAATTACCTTTCAATTGTTTTGATTTGGGGAAGTTTGTCCTAATTTTTTTTATTTTTTTTTTCAATTCAATTGGGGAGGCTTGCCCTAGGATATTTATTTAGGGAAAATTAGGGAGTAAAAAAAAGAGAGGGAAAAGTACCCAACAGTAAGCTGCAAGTAGGGAAAAGAAAGAGTCAAACGCCTAAATTGAGCAATTAATGCCGAAAAAGTAAGTGGAGGTTTCATTAAACAAAAAAAGTCATCGTGGTGGTTTTTTTTTAACAAAGATCCGTTTAAAAGGTTTTTTTCTTGCAAAACGAGGCATTTGAAAGGTTTTTTTTAACAATTTTTCCTTTTTATAATAAGGGGTGTAGGGATTAATATTGAAAAGTAAAAGACAATTTTACCCTTAACGAAAGGGAAGGAAGAGGAGAAATGTTATTAAGAATAGTTAAGTAATTTTACTATTTATCCCAATATAATTCCCAAATCATATCAAACAATAGATAACATAATTTTTATCCTTAATCACCTATTAGTTTCATATTTTTATCCTACTTTTTTATCCTCGTCATCCCTATTGATCCTGCCAAATGCCCTGTTAAAGCTTCTTAATAAATAAACAAAAGTATCCTCTGTTGTAACATCCTGTTTTCATCACTTTTCACATTCTTTTACGGGAGAAGGCTTTCGGCTACGGGAGTTGCGCAGGTATAACCAAACCAGGGTTGACTAAATTGCTTTTAATTCTTTGTTTTTGTTTTGACGGGACAAGAATTGTACTTTGCAATTCATTAGATTAGCAGTGTTGATCGCTTTTTCTTAAATCTTTCAACTGGTTTTGTAAGTATTAGAATTACGAACTGTATTACATAGCTGTGTTTATATATGGGTTTGGTTTTACAATTCTATCATTTATTTATGGTTTTGTTTAGCAATTCTATCAATTACAAAAAATTATTGCGTTTACATGAATTTTCCGATGTGACTTATATAAGTATATGATTAATATAGTAACACCTCTCACAAGTTGGGCTGGTAAGTTTTCTTCAATTCCAGATCTTCCGCATCACTTAAAGATTTAAACTTTATGGTTTTTTTTGGGGTCAAATTTGATTCTTAAAGATTTTCCTACTGTTAATGTTAACTGCAAGAGATTAATTCTGATAAATTCAATTGAAAGTTTTAATCTTTCTTGTATATACTTATAATATTCATTGTCTAATGTGCACCAAAAAAAAAAAAAAATCATTGTCTAATGTTAGTTTGTTTATTATCTTTTTGCATACTGAATTGAAGGAGTCATAAAAGAAAAGAAATTTATTTATGTCGTAGATTTTGATGACGAATTTATGTATGTTGTAGGTTTAATTTATTCACTTCTGTTGGGATTCTGGGAAGTAAATTGGAGTTGGTTTTAGCGAGAATGGAGCTCCTTTGTGAGGATCTGATTATTAAAATTATGAGTAAGCTCTCAGAAAAGGATCTGATGAGGTGCAAGTGTGTATCAAAAGAGTGGCATAGAATTATCACCCATGTTTGCATTCCCAAGTTGTCAATTGAGGCTCCAGTTTTTGGGGTTTACTTTCGTATTGCTCGGTTTACTTGTAAGTTGAGGAAAGTTACATCCATCTCCCCTCCAGATGTTAAAATGCAACTTCATAACCGTATGGCCTATGATGATAGTGTGCACAGCATTGATTGTTCCCCTTTGAAGGTGCATCCACAACGTGCTTTCCGTAGCTGTGCTCTTTATGATACATCTGCCTGTGAGAGCATGTATTATGCAAGTATATTGCCGTTTGATCATCGTGGTCCTGATTTTTTGGACTGCTGTAACGGCTTGCTTTTGTTTGTTCGGTGTCCTAAACCTCAGTTTTACGTGTGTAACCCTGCCATCAAACAATGTGTGCCCATCCCTCTCCCTCCACCTACAATCCATCTGCCTTCCCTTTATGCCTCGTTAGCTTTTGACCCTTCCGAGTCCATTCATTTCCGTATTGTCATCTCATCGCTTACAACTCAGCCACAGTGCTTGCATATTTTTTATTCCCAAACTGGAGAATGGATGACACATGAGATTGAAGTAAAGTTACTGCTTCCTCATGACTGCTTTAGGTTGCTAAGGCATTGTGTTTACTTTAAAGGCATGTTATATAGATTATCCCTGTATCATAGGATTCTATGTTTTGACCTCGAAACTAAGAAAGCCTGTATATTTGCTTCCCCAAACAAGGTACAAGATACACTACCAGGATGTCTTGGGGTGTTAGCTGGCTCTCTTTCATATGCAAAGGAAGAATGTGGACATTTGTGGGTCTGGTTGCGTGATAGCCACAGTGAACCGAGTGTATGGATATTGAAGTATAAAATCTCCCTTGCCCACATATGTGATCTTGCATCAAGAATAAGCATCAAGTGTTTCAATGTATGGTTACATCCATATGCATTTCATCCGAAATCTGACATCTTATTTGTGGGCTCTGCGCGTTCACTTATGATGTATCATCTTGATTCTGATCATATGGAAATTGTGCGAAAGAATGGAATATGTAATATATTTTGTGGATCCTTGTTCTCTATGTTCACATATACACGCACTATAATCACGTTGAAGAACTGGCGCAAAATTCCCTGCGAACTCGATGTGAGTATTGACAAGATCAGTTGCTTCATGTTGTTTCTTGCAATTATTGTTTCCATGTTGAGCTTCGCTTTCTAATTATGGCATACTTCATTCTTACGGTCATTGTGTAATTATTTGCTCAAGACTCCTTTTCATAATTATTTTTCTTTTCTTTTCTAGTTTCTCTAAGTTCTTGCATACGGGTGTCTTGTTTGATCCTTGGCTTTTACAGTTATGACTAAGAATATGATTTCCCAACTTAGATAGTGTTTGAAATTTGAATTGATATTGATTGCATGTTTGATATAAATGAATTTATAAACTAAAAAACTTAACCAATTTCTGATGAGTAATTGCATTACATTTTGTGACATCCCATAAACCATTAGGAATCTTCGATATAACTTATATGTGAGATGTCAGGTGTGAATTACTTTTCTCTTTGCATCCTTGTTTGGATTAAACTCCAACTTAATAGTGAACCATGTATCTGACATGAGTTGACAACTGTATGACCTGTTTAGTGGGAAGAGTTGCTATTAGTGAGTCGGTGAACCGGAGGTTATGGTATATCACAAATTCATTTCCGTTAAGGTACTAAAAAATTCACACTTCCAGTCTTTCAATCGTAGAATTTTTCAGTTGCGAGGGGTTGATTCGTGTGTAGTGTTATTATCCTTTGAACTTAATTTTGGGTGTTCAGAAGTTGGGAAGTTGGGCCCAATGGTCACTTATGCAAAGGAAAGGACAATGCAGTTCGAGTTTGTGATAAGGTCAGTCCTTTCCTTTGGTGTTCACTGTATCACTTGATCTTGGTATTAAGGAAGAAATGTTTTAGTGGAATTGAATCGTATAGAAATGGAGGTTGAAGGAAAGGAAGGGGAATTGTGTCCGGATAAGTTACATAGTTACCTCCAGAAAGTAGGGAGTAGGCATGGAACCGTGGAAAGTAACATTCATTAACCCTTGAGAAAGGGAACAACAGGTACTCACATTGACGATAGGACAATCCGACAAAATAGAGAGGCTGTTTAAGGATATGTTAGTACCTGGAATGATCAATATTTAGTGCATTCTCCTGCTCCGGGCTCTTAGAGAAGTAAATGGACAGTTTTGGGTGATTATGTGTGGATGGTTGTGAAAGTGGAATGTGCATGATAATTATCCAATATCCATGATTGATGAATTGATGGATGAAATTTATAGGTTAAGGTGTTTGCGAAGCTTGATTTCAAATGTGGTTGTCACCAAATTAGAGTAGAGTTAAGTGGATATATGAATTTCTGAATATACCCGTTGAGGTAACCAATGCACTGGCCACAATTCAGCTCTTGATACACAAGGTGTTTTACCCTTCTTGCCCAAGATTATGCTCATCTTTCTTAATCCCTATTTAGTTTTCCATGTATAGCATCATCTTCCTACTTTTTCTATGCATCTTAACATTTGTATGCCAATGTGGGAGGGATATCTTCTTTGGATGTGGGATCAATCTGAAGAACCTGTTGATGTAAATTACAATTTCGTTTCTTGGATTATCTAGTTGAAGCCAAGCTGTTAGTCTGATCTTTGAAGCCACTAGACATGAGTTTAATCAATGTTTTAATAATTATTGATTATCTCGTTATAATTTGACTGTTACAAAGTGTCAAGTATGTTTATCCATTGTGGAATTAGAGTTTACCTTGAAATGAAAAAGCTATCCACTTATCATTATACTGAAGCTCATGTTTGCTTTTGATGGTCAGAACGTTGAAGAGGTGCTAGATGATTGGTGTTTCACTGAGCAATGATTATTTATAAAGCTGTGTAAGAGCTGAAGCTTGTTGCAGGCAACCATCGTCAGATGCTGCACTGTGCTGATTCTACAGCATGTACTGTACATTAATGAATGAATAAAGGAAAAGCAGGTGTTTGCTCCCTCTTTAATTTATGGTAATCTGGTGGTATGCTTCAATAAGAGTAGTACCAATTAGGCTTATTGTTACGCAAGTCTTCTGTTGTATTTGAACTAGCAGCGGGTTTTAATCCCGCATTGGAAGGGGCATAGGTGTCAGACCCTTCCAAATACTGTGAGTTGGTCGACTGTTGTCTTTAAGCTCGTCGACATTGGATCATGGTACATGAAAGGTTTGAAGCTCGTGCCGATACAATGCTAGTAGAGTAGTTGTATTTTGTTGTTAAAGATCTCATTAACATTTCACTGAACTCATAAAATATATTGGCAGTGTGAACTCAAGAGTTTGTATCTTTAATGTTTGGTTAAATAAATGGGATATCATTTACTCCCTCGTTCATCTTATTATTAGATGCTATAACATGTAATGCATGTGTTATCTATAACTCTTAAAGCCAAATTGGAGTAAAATGGGTATCTCTTATGAACAGCGCTCTTCCCATTTTATCCTCAAGAAAATATATTTACCACATTATCCTTTGTTGCTAGATTCAACATGGGCGACCTCCTCGCACCGGTTAAAGGCCCACTTCTCTATTTCTTTCATTTATTATTCCTAAAAACAATCATCAACCCACCTCATTTCTGCTCCTCGAATCAAGGTAATTCCTCCTCTCTAGGACAATGATATCCTATGCAACCTTCAATCTTATGATTGACAAATTGAGTGAGCTCTCAGTGTTTTAGCTTTTTGTTTTTTCGATTGGTGTCAAAAAATTGAGGCATTGAAGTGAGCATTTTCTATATTTTGCTCAATTAAGTCTAACCTAACCTTTGAAATTTTTTTACTTTGTTGAGTATGATGGTTTGAAAGTGAGAATACGAGGAGCAAATCGTTCATGGGATTAAACTTGAGTAATAATATATATATTTTTTTACCGAGCAAATTATGTCTTTTAGTAGCTTGTAATTATAATGGCATTTGTTTCCTTTAGTTAAGATGTTGACTTCATTGATCTTTAATTTTGCAGAAAATCAGCTGATGTGGAATCTCAGCCATTGTTGCAATAACAGAATCAGCAACAGCAACAGATGGTTCCATTAGAAGACACTTATATGCAGAGCAGAGCTGAAGCACTTCAGAATGTGGAGTCTACAATTCACGAATTGAGTAATATATATACACAATTGGCAATAATGGTATCACAGCAAGGAGAGGTTGCAATCAGGTTTGCATCCTGTAGCTTAAGATGGCTGTTTTGGCTGATACAAATATGTGCTATTGATTTGCTTGTCTTTGTAGTTGACTCTCAAGTTATTTTTAATAGTATTTAAAGCATTTAATATTTGCTTGTATTGGTTTATTGGATCTTTTGTTGAACCTTGATTTAATGATGCCGTAACTATCAAGTTGACTGCCTTTTCAATTTGATGGGATTTGGTTATAGCACAATCTTGCTATTTAGCTGCCAATTGCCGACTCCTCTCTATAATTAACAAAGTTATATTCTGTTCTTCAATATTGGAATAGGTAACTGATTCCCTCTTAATCCTATAGCTGGTGGGTAAATTAATATCATTTAAGTTTATCATGCCCTTCAAATACTCGTAATTTTTTTTTCTTGATAAACTTTGTCTATTGTTGTTTATAAGGATTAAATTGATTTGACTGCCTTTGTTCTTTAATATTAGTAAGGATTGAATGTAATGAGGGTTTTTTTTTTTTTTTTTTTTTTTTTTTCCGCATAAGCTTTAGAATTCTTGAAATCAATTGATAAAAAAGACTGGTTGTCCTTTGTTGTTTATCTATGCTGATCCGATTATAATAACTTAGTTTACTAGGGTGAGCTAACTCAATTTAATATATTCTTTTCTATGTAAAATATTATGGTTTTGTGAGCTAACTCAATTCAAAATAAACTGCTTGACCTCCTTGAAGAAATGAGTTAGGAATGCTATGGATTTGTAATGATAAACAAAGATGAGCTTCTGAGTCCGATATCATTTTATCCTCTGAAGTTCTTAAAATTCATACAGGTTACATTGGTTGATTATATGGTTCAGGAGTTTCGTTTTTTTGTTTAATCAATTGGCATCTGCGAAGCTCGGACTCGGCCAACCACCCCACCGTACCGGTGTCGACACGACGCGACCCGGGTGCAGACATGGAATCCGGGTCGGACGCTTGGGAGAAAAAGTGGACTCGTCGGTCATAAACCCTAGATCTAAAATAGAATTGCGGAAATTTCAAAAAAAGAGTCTAAACCTTGGGGCTTTTGTTCGAAAGTGAAAGGCGAGTAGGCCGACACTAAGAGGTTGTCGGTTTTCATTCTCGGCGATGGGAGGCTGGTTCTTCTGCTTCTTCGACACGTTTAACTGTTCAATTTCTTTTTTTTTTATAAAAAAAAAAAAAAACAAGGGGTGGGGTCAGTAGGGAATATACTCAGTACTTATGTGGGTGGGGGTAGGTGGAGGACCTCACGTGACTCCTTTACTTAATGTTATCTACATTGCTCTCAAATCCTCTATTACTGTTTTTCCTGTTTTTTCTTTCTTTCCCTTACTTGTAGTTTCATTTCAGCACCGCAAGTACAGCCAGTAACTTGCAGTATCCCTACCTATACAAAAGTATCACTGAATCCTTATGAATAGTGTTGAGACTAATATATCCCTCAAAAAATTCATTTACGTATTTACTTTTGTACTTTTGCTTTTATATTTGTAATAAGCATGATGGAGTAGTTAAGAAAGACCAAAAGACTTAGTTTAATTACTTGATAAATTTAGCATTTAAGTTGCTTATGTTAATTTGTTTGCTTTTTTGAAAATTGTAATTGTAACGCTAGGGTGATCAACCCTTTTGTATATCAAGAGGTAATTCAGACGTTTTTGTATATACTACATACGCGTCTTTAAATTTTTATAATATCTTGCAGAAAACTTTTCACATGATTGTTTTCTATAATTAAATATTTAACCATAAATCGTAAACTATTGGGTGTGTCCACCCGCACCCAACGGTTGGTGCGGCTAGGAGATATCGGGAGCGGCAGCGGCGGAGGTGGAGGCCGTAGTTGCTGGAAAAAGTTGTCGGGAAACTCCGTATCCATTGCAACGAAGGAGTAATCGTCGATCAAAGATCAAATCAACAAAAACTCATATTCAAGATTATCATACCTCATCTTAATCGATTGAAATCGAATTTTTAAGGTTCTTCAATCTTCACTTCTTCAATCAAGAGATTAGTGTTTCCCTGGAGAAGTGTACTTCAGCTGCGATTTGTGGACTGTGGTGGGCTGCGATTTGTGGTGGTTCTGCGATTTTGTGGTGGTGGCGCTGCAATTTGTGGTGGTGGCGCTGCAATTTGTGGTGGTGGGCTGCGAGTTGTGGCAGTGAGTTGCGATCTTTGGTGGGTTCGGTGAACGACAGCGGCACAAACGGCGAGGAGAGGCTCGGTAGCCGGATTAATTTCTCGAGGAGGAAAGGGAAGTGGCGTGAGGACTGACAGGAGAGAGAAAGCAAGAGTGGAAGAAGAAGAGGAGGAAAGAGGAGAGAGAAGAAATAAAAATATTTTGTAATTTTACATACTTTGTATATAAGCCAATAAAAGTAACATATCCGCCAATTGATGTTTGATATCATTCATTATTATGGACATATTAGACATCAATATAAATGTATCAGCTAACAAAAGGAACCTATTAGCCAACAAAAGATACATATCAACCAACAAGAGGAGTATATCAGCCAACAAAAGGTACTTATCAGCCAAGAGACGGAACATATCAGCCAACAAATGAAGCATATCAGCCAACAAAAGGATGAAATCAGCAAATAAAAGCAACAGGTAAGCCAACAAAATAAACACATCAGCCAACATAATGAAACATATAAGCCAACAATAAAAATATACATATCATCCAACAAAATAAATATGTCGGCCAACTAAAGAAACATATAAGCCAAATGATGTCTGATATCAGCCAACAAAAGGAAAAAAAAAACATATCACCCAACAAAAGGAATATATTAGCCAATACAAAAATCATATCAGCCAACAAATGAAACATATCAGCCAACACATGAAACATATCAGCCAACTAGTAAAATGTATTAGCCAAGCCTTCCGCACCAAACAGTTCGTGCGTCTATACGCACGCAATACCTTCTCTATTTTTTTTTTTTTTTTTTTTTTTTTTTTGGGTTTTAGACTAAAGTCAATTAATTTGTATAGTTACATCTCTGAATCAACCTTGATCATATGATAAATTGAATTATATTAGTAGAGTAATTATAAAATTTTTGCTTTGTATTAGCAAAGTGTCATGGTGAAGACATTTTTTTTTTTAATCATTGGTGGGATAAAAATATGATCATTAAAATGCTAATGAGCAAGAGGAGTGAGAAAGTGAGTAGAGAGGAAAATAGGAAGTGTTTTTTTCAATGCTCTTTAGTATGTATTTAAAAGCCTACCTAACAAGCTTTCACTATAAGGACAAGCTTTTTCAATATTCTTTAGTAGTGTTGGGATCATTTTCACTGGATTTGGTATAAAGGTCGAATTATTTAAAAATAACCCAAAGGTGGGATTATTTTGGACGGATGTCTCAAATGTGAGATTATTCTGGGCAATTTTTTCTTTATTTAACACCCTTAAGAAATGATTTTATATATTTGTTTATTATTATTTTTATTTATTGCAGCAATGGGTTGAACACTCGGTAGGTGGGAAATTTAGATGAGAAGCAATTGCGGATTGATCCAATGCATGCCGACCTTTGTAGTTATTTGGTGTTATCAGGTTATGCAAATTTTAGAAAGGTGTAATTTTAGAATAGATTTTTTTTTTTTCTACTCCGAGGGAAATTGTTTGACATCATTTTTTGTTTTCAGTTTTTTGTTTTTTTTTTTAAAAACAAAAAACCAAAAACAAGAAACAAGAAAAAGGTGTTTTCACTTTTCTGTTGTCAGTTTTCAAAATTATCATAATTTTAAGTTTGACAAATTTTGATTCATTATATGACATATATTATATGATTTTGAAAAACAAAAAACCAAAAAAACAGAAAACAACAGCAATGCCAAACGAATCCTAATTGTTTGGTGTTCATTCCTATATCTTATCAGCTCTTTTTAATCAATAAACTAGTGAGTAGCCTGGGCGTTGCCCCGGGTTACTACTTTATAACTATGCAACTGTTAATTTTTAAGAGCATCTAATAGTTTGTATGTTAGTATATGTCTTCAATACTTTATAGTATAACATTATTTATTGTGTAAGGTTAAAGCATAATTGACAATAAGTCTAGATGATTAAACAATAACCTTCTTTCTAAGAGGTCAAGTGTTCGAACCTTCTCATCCATATATTTTTTTCAATATAATTGAGACTACTTGTGTGGATGACGTGGCATATTGAGGTGCTAAGTGGATGACGTGGCATAATAAGAAGTTGAGTAAGTGACATGGCGAAATAAGGGGTATACGTGGCGCATAGACGTTTTTAGGAACGCCTTTTGATAGATTAGTATAGATTTACAAAATATACAAAGAGTGTTTTAGTGGTATTCTTTTGTTTACTTGAGGTTTGCATATATATATATATATATATATATATATATAGAAATGGGATCATGTGAGAACCCATGGCTTAGGTGAGAACCATTTTAAAATGAGAACTCATCTAACACCATTCATTTTTATTAGATGAATGGTTCAGATTTATTGTTTCATTAGTGGGAATTCACGTGGACCACCTTCATTAATTGTAATGATTGTTTGTATTATTTTTTTTAATTTTTGTGCATTGGGACACAAAATCTGCCAAAAGCTGTCATTATTACATGTTTTTTATTATTTATTGCATTGAAACACGTTACGTTAAAATGTAGTTGAAGTGTACGTCGTTAATGATGTTTCGTAAAATATATCAAGTGTTTCAATTTATAATATTAATGTTTCATATATATTATTGCTTGTTTCATACAGTTGAGCTCTATATGAACTAGGTGTACTGTGATTTCTTATACCTTATCCGATGTTTCAAAAAATATACCTTATGTTTCATTTTATAGTGCTTATGTTCCATAAAATATATGTGTTGTTTCATATACTAATGATATTGTTTTATACATAAAAATCATTGATGTTTCATATAATATTTCATTCGAATATTATTTATATTGTTCCAGAAATTTGAACTATTGTCTCATAAATATTATACATTGTTCCATACCATATGTGTGAAATGTACCAATGACTGAAATGCATGTTCCCAAGAAAATTAAAAAGCATGTACCAATGACTGAAATGCGTGTTCCCAAGAAAATGCATGGGAAATTGATAATTAATCTCAGCCATCCATTAAGTGTAGTTGGTGTACGTTAATGATGTTTCGTAAAATATATCAAGTGTTTCAATTTATAATATTAATGTTTCATATATATTATTGCTTGTTTCATATAGTTGGGCTCTATATGAACTAGGTTTACTGTGATTTCTTATACCTTATTGATGTTTCAAAAAACATACCTTATGTTTCATTTTATACTACTAATGTTCCATAAAATATATTTATTGTTTCATATACTAATGATATTGTTTTATACATAAAAATCATTGATGTTTCATATAATATTTCATTTGAATATTATTTATATTGTTCCAGAAATATGAACTATTGTCCCATAAATATTATACATTGTTCCATACCATATGTGTGAAATGTACCAATGACTGAAATGCGTGTTCCCAAGAAAATTAAAAAGCATGTACCAATGACTGAAATGCGTGTTCCCAAGAAAATGCATGGGAAAGTGATAATTAATCTCAGTCATCCATTATGTGTAGTTGGTGTACGTTAATGATGTTTCGTAAAATATATCAAGTGTTTCAATTTATAATATTAATGTTTCATATATATTATTGCTTGTTTCATATACTTGGGTTCTATATGAACTAGGTTTACTGTGATTTCTTATACCTTATTGATGTTTCAAAAAACATACCTTATGTTTCATTTTATACTACTAATGTTCCATAAAATATATGTATTATTTCATATACTAATGATATTGTTTTATGAGACAATAGTTCATATTTCTGGAACAATATAAATAATATCCGAATGAAATATTATATTATGTATAAAACAATATCATTAGTATAGGAAACAATACATATATTTTATGGAACATAAGTAGTATAAAATGAAACATAAGATATGTTTTTTTAAACATCAATAAGGTATAAGAAATCAGAGTAAACCTAGTTCATATATAACCCAACTATATGAAACAAGCAATAATATATATGAAACAAGCAATAATATATATTGAAACACTTAATATATTTTATGAAACATCATTAACGTACACTTCAACTACATTTTAACTTAACGTTGACAACACAATTCAATGTAACATTACATTTTTTAATTGAAATAGCGGCAAGTCTTTTTGAAACAATAATAACATCTTTTGAAACATCTCAAAATTATTCCTTTAATACAATAAAATAAGTAATTAATACTGTTCCAATTGGATGATATGCCCGTTATTGTCAATACAATTTATATTGTTCCAGAAATATGAATTATTGTCCCACAAATATTATATATTGTTCCATATATAAGAACTAGTGTTCCAATTACATGATATGCCCCTAGTTTTCGAATTTTAAATATGTCGTTCCAGAATTTTCAACTATTGTACCACATACAGATTTGCTCTTTTTTTGCACTACTTCGAAAATTCTACCAAAAAAATATCAAACGAACTCCAAAAATTCTGAAATTTTGTATGATTATTCTACACAAAAAATAAGCATATTCATAAAAAGAATCGCTTCAAAAGGGTTTTTTATGAGAGAGAAATATTCATTTGAAATCCGTCTTTCCAGATTTGCTCCTTTTTTGCACTATTTCGAAAATTCTACCCAAAAAAATATCAAACGAACTCCAAAAATTATGAAATTTTGTATGCTTATTCTGCACAAAAAAAATAATCAAATTAAAAAAAAAATCGCTTCAAAAGCTTTCTTTATGAGAGAGAAATCTTCATTTGAAATCTGCCTTTATTTCTCTCTCTTCAATGGCTAAATTAAAATGAAACCAGATTTTCCATTTTCTCTCTCTTCAATGGCTGAATCTCTTGGTTTTATAGTACATAAATCGGTGTTTCAATGCAGAAAATAAGGAAAAAAAATTAAAAAGCATGTACTAATGACTGAAATGCGTGTTCCCAAGAAAATGCATGGGAAAGTGATAATTAATCTCAGCCATCCATAATCTCAAAATTGATGGTGTAAGATTGATTCTTATTTTAAGAGGGTTCTCACCTAAGGGGTAGGTTCTCACATGATCCCTCCCCTATATATATATATATATATATATATATATATATATATATATATATATATATATATATATATATATATATATATATATATATATATATATATATATATATATATAATATATATATATATATATATATATATATATATATATAATATATATATATATATATATATATATATATATATATTATATATTATATATATATATATATATATATATATATCCTATGAAAGCATTCTTCTTTCAATTTCATCATACATATTACATATTCTTATATTAATTTAGCTTAGAATGATAGTTTAGGGTGGATAACTACTTAAGATAAAACTAAAAATATACGGAGTATCAATTATAAAAAGTTGTTTTGTTCATTTTGTGTACAAATAAAAATTGAAGCCAAACTTATCATTGAAGCTATTTAGAATGACATAAATACCTTTTCACTATAATGTCTGCAAGTTTTATTTTTTGGCTTAGACCTTTTGAGTTAACGACTGTCATCAATGCGATTTAGTACTTGTATATCATACATAATCAAATTTAGAAAATTAATGCCGATGTTTTAACTTAGAGATCCACTGTGTCAGATACAAGGTGATAATCCCTTGAGTTATCCTCTCCCAGTGATACCAAAACAAAGATGGGATTATACAGCTGCCATCCTCAAAAAAGCTGTTTCAAATCATCTTAGTTGTTCATAATTCGATTTTCAAGAGTAAAATACGAAGAAACTTAATCTTCTTCCTTACCTTACACTAAAACTCTGAAAGCTAGATATTGCCACTCAAGAGTATGTAAATCAACATTTGCATTCCTTGAAAATAGTTCAAAGAGAAAGATTCATAAGAGGTATTTAGCATCCACAATTCCACACATTGCAATCTTCAATGTCACATATCTGTACACATTACCTCTTTCTCTTTCTCTTTTTGGAGAGAAGGCTGCTATATGGTCATTTACCAGCAATATTGTGATGAAGAGCTACAGTGGCCTTGCTAAATAACATAGTGACAAATTGCTATTATATACGAAGTATCTAGCTTAGGTAGACAAATTGCTATTATATACGAAGTATCTAGCTTAGGTAGACAAATTGCTATTATATGCGAAGTATCTAGCTTAGGTACAAAAACAATATGACACCCAACAACAGTTCTAAAGAATGACGACTATTGTGATGGTGTGATTAGTCTTCTCTATACATTCCATATCATCAAATGCCTGCAGTTGAAGAAGCAGAAAATCAAACATGAGCAGCAATAAAAAAAAAGGCATTCAAATCAATCTTGATCCAAATATAATCTGGATTTAAGTTTCATAAGTAATTGCCCACTACTGTATGAGGGCTAACTTTTTCAAATTCTCAAGGAATTCAATTACATCAACAAGACAAAACAACTTCCACAAAATTTCAACTTCGGAATGTAACATTATATCATGGCATTACAGTTTTCATGGGAATTGCACTGTTGGATCTCAATGCAATGACTCAAATATTTTATCTTTTATCATCCAGAACGTCAAACTCTGTTTAGCTTGTGATTAAACCTTTGTTTCTTTTTTTTTAAAGGTGATTAAAGCTTTGTTTAATGCTTATTCATAGCTTTAATCTAGGCCCTATAAACGTGTAAGGGGAGCAAGTTGAAGGTAGGTGGAAAGGGTTACCACCTTCCAAAGCTACATGGGAGGAAGCCACGGCTATACAAGACGGTTTTCCAGCTTTCCACCTTAAGGACAAGGTATTAGTGGAGACACACAACAGGAGTACAAAAGACAGTAGAGTACGGCACAAGTGCGACCAAAAACAGAGTACGAGAGTTGGTGAATCAACTTTGGGATTGATGGGTTACATAATCTAGGTTGTCATAGTAAAAAGGCATTCAGTTGTCATTAGAGTTTGGTTTGGGAGAGCAGAGAACCTCTCGAAAGTTCTCAACAGTCAACGTTGTAGCTTGTAGTTATCATTTAATCTTCTTATAGGAGTACATCAAAGCTATCATCTTCCTTATTCTCTTCTTTTATACTTGCATATTTGAGAATTAACTGGATGGTTGAAGTGAGTTCATTACAGTTCTTTGCTGATTAATACCTACTTAGTGTTAGACTAGTGAGTGTTTAGACCTTTTATTCATGTACTCAGTGTTTATTAAATAAGGATTATCATTTCAAACACAATTTACCCAGAATACATTAGCCTAAAAAAACTAAAATCTGAACTTTGATTATGGATCAATATGGCTTACCAAAAAGGAGAGAATCACTGAGGTACGTTGCATCTATCCACAACCACCAAGATTTCATCCTAGGTGTCTTCCTTCAAAAGCTGGCAAACAATTAAAAATTAGAAATTAAAACAATAGTAAGAATATTCATTGAAGATATAATGCAAACACTTCTTTCTTCTCTCATTCTTTTCGATTCTCTTCTTCACTCGTTTTCTATATTTTTTTCTATCTTCTTCAAAGAGTTACAGTAATATTAAGGGGATCATTATCTCCTATATCAGAGTAATATACTTTGCAGCTGCCCCCTACAGCAAAGATACATCCCACATCTCATGTGCCTGTGCTAATGGCCCTCTGAGATCAGCCCTAACAGACCTCTATTTTAAATTATGATGTGTTTAGTTTTCTTTTTTTTTTCTTTTTCTTTTTTTTTTTAAATGCCTAGCTACCTTATACATGAAATAGTCTTTTTAACTCCGCTTCATGCCATATCAAGATTGATCATGATCTCATACCAAATTCTTGGGAACTGTAAGAGAAAACCCCCTTGGTCTCTTTCTCATTACCATCAAGCCTTATATATACAGTACATTAGGAATTTAGGATAGCAAGGCCTAAATCTAGGAACAATTAAAGTACTCAAGTTAAGGCTATATTCAAGGAACAGTTGCAATACTCTAGCTACAAACTAGAAACCAAAAATATTACAAAGTAAAAAGTAAAAATAAAAATTGTACTGCCCTTGTGAAACCAGATTATTACAAATTCAAATATGAGATATGCAAAATAATTCGTTTACATATTTGTTGTCAGGAATCAAACAACGCAATATCATTATAACATTTCCTATTTGCAAGATTAATAATGTGCTCCTAAAATGTAATCGGGAGTCATTGCCAGCATATAATAAGGAAAAGGACCAGAGCACGATAAATTGAAGAGGGATAGAACTTTCACTATGATAATGTGCTCCTAACAACATCAATGACATTTTGTTTGTACAATGCACTAGTAATTGGTGGGATATAAGCTTCCTTCGTAGTTTTCTCCTATTTCAAATGTTATGCTTTTGCTTACTTAAATAATTTGTATCTCTATCTTTATTTTATTAAATTGTCATATGGAGTACAATTGACAACTTCTGTTTTGCTATATATATAATGGTTATTGCTCAATAAATTCAACAGCCATGCCCCTCAGTTGAAATTAAAGTATTAGAATTATATTTGACAGTTATATAGACTATCGCACCAAGAAAACTAAATGGACTATAAATTTATAGAGCTCATATAGTCTCCAAGTATATAGAAGCATTCCAAATTCTACATCAATGGATATTATTCTCATTGTATGTGAATGACACATGAGTGCAAAACAAAAGTCATACCTTAAAATCTTATACTGAACATTGATTAATTTTAATTTTTAATTGTCAAACATTAGTCAAGGTTGCATTGTGTGCCATTTGTTCATATTTGTCTTTATTAACATAAGGAAACTAAACAACCATTTGTTCACACTAGCTAACTATGCATGGATCATCTTAACTAATGAGTACTTAAATTTTGAATTTTTGATAACTAATTCATCAAACGAGTTACCAACATTAGTCAATTGAAGTTGAAAGTATAACCCTATATTTATGTGCATACTTTGTGTCACCATTTTATTGGTTCGAAATAATTATATATTCAGGTAAAATCAAGTCATATACATTATGATAGTGATACGGAGAAATTAACTTCAATTGTTCAAAACGAGAGCAACATTATACAATAGATCTATAATCTACATCAATGGAAAAAAATTCATTCAATTTTTTTTCTGTTGAAGTGAAGGTAACAAGCAATATGATGCCCTATCTTGATAGCTGCCACATCTCATTGTGTTGCTGTTTTTTACCTTCTTAACATGGTTTAATGTTATAAATTACAACATCTATTCAGAAGTTATCTTTCCTCATATATAATTCCCTTTTGGGTTCACTGGAAAAAATATTTTAAAACAATTAAACAGATTGAAAGATGTTGATTATACACTTATAAGTTATAACACATACATGCTAAAATTACAGGGAGTACAAGATTATAGCTGAGGCAAAACATGAACCATCTTTAACAAGCATTAGCAATTCAACAGCACATGTTTTAAAGTTGTAGATAGTATTTAAGTAGCAGTGAGGTGCAATGCTTCTTTAAGAAATGAAATTACAAACTTTCAATTCAAAAATAGCAGCAAAGGACATACCTCAAGAATCATTGAAGTGTCAGGCCTTTCATTAAAATCCTCTTCAAGTAGACTTCTGATTATATCTTCCTTAAAACCATCCAAACATGCTTTCACCAAGTATTCAGTTCTCTTTTCAGGATCTCCGAGAACTTCAAATTTTTCTTGGCTTGTGCCAAACTCAAATCCAACCAACATTTCTAACAGAATCATACCTAAACTGAACATATCAGAATATAGAGTGAATGGCTTTTCTGGCGATTTCAGTTCGGGTGCGGTGTATATGCCTCTTGCAATAGGAAAGTTTGTAGCTTCTTTTAAGGAACATGCTGCAATTCATCACAGATTCAAATCTTAAAAACCTTCTATTGAAGATCAGGTATAAAAAGACAACATGTTGACTTACATACCTAGTCCAAAATCACCAATTTTGACCACATTGCCTTTAAGAAAAACATTGGAAGGTTTGAGATCACCGTGCCTAATCTTTTTTGAGTGAATGTGGTCCAAACCACTAACAATTTGCTTAAACATACTCCATAACTCTTCAACCTCCATTTTTTTTTCCTTGAGAATCTTGTCTAAGGATGTATTACACAATTCTAATTGGATGTACAAACAAGGAGCCTCTGCTTCATCTTCAGCTTCAATGGATTCGTCAGAATCCTCATACAAACCCACAATTGAGGGTTCTATCCAGGCAGAATATTATTGTGAGATATCTCTGCTAAACAGAGAACCTCACTGCACAAGTTTTAAAAAAAATAGATATTAGAGATAATAAATAATATACTTCGTATTATATACACAAAATTATTTGAGAAAATAATTACTTTATGACAATGTCATAGCAAGCTTCACCAGCATCCAGGATTATCTTTTTTACTGCATATTCCTTCCTATCCAATTTATTGATGCATCTAACAACCACGCCAAATCCACCGCTCCCGATTTTCCGAATTTCATCAAATTCAGTCAGGAGTCTAGATTCTAACCCCTTTGATCCAGTTTCGGACTTTCTAATTGATTTTCCGGATTTAGGACAAAATATCATCATCTCCTGTTCACAAATTAATCCTTTCTATCAAATAATAATAATACTGTATAATAATAAAAGCATAAAATAAGAGGAAAACAAACAAGAATCAATAATCCAGACTCTTAACAGGCCAATATTAAAGCAGCAACAATCAACAAAACAGCCGATACAATTCGCAGAAATTGAACATCAATAATTCAAACCGAAGTAAATTCAGAAAAATCGATAATCAACCTTAATTCTTCAGCAATAATATTAACAATCTCCCGCTTGCAAATCTTGTTATAATACTGATCAATCCGAATAAGAAAGAAAGCAGCAACAATCAACAAATCAGCCGATATACTTCGAAATCACTATAGAATCTAATAATTGAAGGTAATTTGAAATTTTAAATGAAACATGTTTAAACAAAATTGATTTTAAATCGTGAAGAAAATTGAATTATCAAGTAGAACAACAAATCCAAAGGAACCATTGCACCACAAACTAACTTGCAACAACTGAAATTTCCTCTCATTGTAGTACCGATATTATCAAGAAAAATATAAAATCCTCACGCAATTATATTGTAATACTTCCGAATGAAGAGAATATCAAAATAAGGAATTAATTGCTTCTGAAATTCAAAAAGTGGGGAAGAGAAATATATTTGAGACCTTGAATCGGGGTAGAAAGAATGGAAGAGAGATGAAATGCAGAAATCAATTGAAAATTGAAGAAAAAGAAACTGAAATTGAGAGGCGGCTTCAATGGAGAACTCTGAGTGCGCTTCAATGGAGAACTCTTAGTGCGCTTCAATGTGAATGAAATCAAAAGCCCCTATTTCAATTGAGAAAGTTAGGGTTTATGCAAAGGGTGTGATTGGGGAAAAGAGGTGAATTGGAGGTGATGGAGTGATTGAAGGGTGGCGAAAAGAGGTCGCCGGCGACGGTGATTAGTCGGTGGTGGTTGTGGGGTTCGGAGGTGCGGGCTGCAGGGAGAATGAGTGAGCCGTGGGTTCGTAGGAGCCGTGGAGTGACTTTTTTAATTTTTATATTTGTTAAAACATGCGGGTTGCTGATAGGCTTCAAACGAGGAGCTAATATGATAATGGAAAGTTATATCATATTTCAAGAACCTACATGTTTAGCTAATATGACAACAATGAAACAAGTCCATTCTCACTATCAACAATTTCATTAACTCTTAGTACTGCATACAACTATCAACATACTAGTACGGCATTACCATCAACAATTTCATCATTATTTTCACAAAAATAAACCATAAAACCATCAACAATTTCATCAAAAATAAACCACATTATTTTCGTCAATTATGTATCACATTACCATCAACAATTTCGTCTACATTGTTCTTCAATAATGTACTACATTATCATCAACAATTATCAACAATTTATCACATTTTCATTACTAATTAGCAACAAATTAATACAATTTACATCACATTTTGCTACAACATACAAAAACTACCAACTATTCAATGTAAAATTATACTACGAATTTAGGGTTTACCTGGATTTAGAGAGTGAGTGAGTGAGTGAGAGAGTGAGCAACAGCTTCCCTTCACTTGGGCGGTGGCAGCGGCGGTGGTTCGGTGTTTGTGAGAATGAGAGTTGCTTTAGTGAGAGAAAGAGTGTACAATGCGGTTGTGAGAATGTGAAAAACGCACCAGAATCTGGGTTAATGCCCCGCAAGAAACGCTGCCTAAGGCAGAGTTTATTGTTCAGAAATAAAACGCTGCCTCAGGCCGCGTTTTATTCTGTACAATAAACGCTGCCTGAGGCAGCGTTTCATTTAAACGTATAAACGCTGCCCCAGGCAGCGTTTTACAGTATTGGGGTTTTTTTTTTTAATAAATTATGAAATACGAAGTTTGGCCAACAAAAGTCAAACAAGTAAAACGCTGTCCGAGACAGCGTTTAACTTCTTGAATTTTTTTTTAAAAAAAAACTGGGTGTAAAACGTTGTCCGACCCCAAAAGCTTAGTTTGGGAAATACTTTTGCCACGAGACCAATTTGGTAAATACTTTGCCAAATTAGCTCACTTTCGTAAAAAGTCCCTTCAAACGAGGAGCTATAGCTCGCTCGAGTCTGTCGTGGTCCGTGGACTTCAATGGATGCGAGCTATGGCTTCAAACGGTGCTTGTGGTTAGCAAATACAGGTCGAATCCCACGGGGAGACAGGTTCATGGACATGCAGTTCACCATTTCTCAACAGGACATTAAAAATCTTGAATGAGATACTCATCCATTCCTTCATGATTAGAACTCAAAAGATTAAAAAAAACGGCGACACCCTGAATCATTTCAATCTCCCAACAAGAAATCAAAATCAATTGGGGTTCTTATGTGTCCTATTTCATCCAAATTAAGTTCCTTCCAAAAAGAGAGTTTTTAACTTTCATCTTACATCCTCAAAACATAGGATCTTCATCAACCAACATCGTCCAAGTGTCAAAAGGCGGAAACATTTCATCGTTCCACATACCAGATTTAAGCGATCATGCGTTACTACCCATAGCTCTCAAGGTATACTTTGAGTGGTTAATTGGGAATGCAACCGTTGCAAACTTATTTACAAAGTTAGATACGATTTCAGATTTCAATTACCTGATGCCCATGGTAGTAAATAGAACACCAATTATTGTGCTATCGGAAACAACAGTGTCTAAGATGATGGCAAATTGGATATTGACCGACCTTAATCCTTGACACTTGTCTGTTGTAGAGCCAAAAGGAATTTCTAGAGGAATTACAGTCATCAACTTAAGTAACAAATGCAATATGGTTAACGTGAAAACAAATCCTAATGAATGGAAAAGCATTGTAGTAGTTTGTACTTGTTTGGATTTGAATTAGTTATTTCAGGATTTCTATTTTATTTTTTTTATTTTTTATTTTTTATTTTTTTTTTGCTTTATGAAATAATAGCAGCAATGCTATTTTGGTGGTCCTCCTGTTAGACCTTCTTATGTAGCAATATTGTGATATGAATGATTATTACTTGTTGAAAAATATATCATGTTTACCACAAGATTAACATTATGGCAGCACGGCCATAAGCATACCAAAAAAACATCATCAACGACATCATAATTTTACTGCAAAATTATAACCATTGAGAAATTCATCACATTTTCAGCAAAGCAAAAATAGAAGCGAAATAGATGGCTAACATACAGCATTTTGTAAATGCTTCTAGGGGTAACAATCTGCAAATCCTCTCGATTACCAGCTAGTTTCTTACCAAAAAAGTAAGACATTATTGTAGATGAAAAATTACTAGTTTACACACAGATGAGGCCCTCGGAACTTTGAATAGCCATCCAATTGCAGCAATTGTTGTTTCACTAACCCTACCCTTCAAATTGATTTTGAGCACCTTCAAGTTTATGGCATTGTTCAACAGATATTCCAGCAGTATCTTATCAGCATTCACCAAATTAAAGAAGCTGATGTTGATAACTTCAAGTGTTGGTATTGGACATTTGGGCAAACAAGTTGGAAGTACTGGAGGCTCTGGACAGTTGCATAAGTAATCAAGGGTGAAGAGATTAAGTTCTAGAGGACCTTGTCCTACCGAGTAATCAAGATAGACGAGATTAGGGGCACGCTGCAAGATCCATAACACAAGATACCGCCATGAAAAGTTTAAGCATTTGATTGAACACTGGTAGCCACTTACATCAAATGGTTCAAGTGTGGAAACAAGGGCAGTTGATCGTGCTCAGTTCCTCCAAGAGTAGCCTTAAAGTTGATGAGATGCAAAACAAAGGTAGAAATATCATCAGATATTGAAAGAAAAACAGTGAAAAATTCTAAGTAAGAAGTAGTAATATTAGCTCATACCTCTATTGTATCAACTTGTAATCGTAAAGTCATCAAGCTAGAAACTTGTTGAAGGATTTTAAACAATTGTACACAGAAGTAATCACGGTGTCGGATGATAAGTCTAGCTTCAGCTAGTGAGGGCATGTTGCCAAACTTCTAGTCTGATAAAAAACTTTCGATACAAAGATATTCAAGACTTGGAGCACCTACAATTGTAACTTCAGACTACAAGTGTGGAAACAATTGTAACTTCATTTCCTCTGGAATATGTATCGAGATTTAATCGCTTTAGAGATGAAGAATGAATACATATATTTTGCAATCCTCTGCAATGCTGAATAATTAATTCTTCAAGTCGAGGCAACCTCATCAAGATATCATTCAAAGAAAAATCATCTGAAAAATTAATGTGTGTGAAGTGTAGAAAGTTAACAGATTTGGTAGATGAATTGGATTTCGAAGAGGGGAATCGAAACCCGTCAACTTTAACACCATAAGTTTCTCATTCGAAAAAGTCTCTGATGGTAGTATTCCCTCATCTAATAATTGAAGATCTATCTCAACAATATCCCGTCGCATTATATTCCTAATCCATGAATGATAATGGAGGGCATTGAAGCAATTAAGCTGAAACAGCCTTAGTAATTGTGTATCATTACAGATCAAGACTCTATTTACAGTTTAGATACGTAGTATTTAGATTGTCAATTGAAGACCTTTGTAAAAGAGAGGGTTATATTCCCAATTTCCTTCAGTCCATGTAATTCTCGATTTCTCTATTACAATTTACAAGTGTAGTTTATTGGTCGAGGGAAGTGAAGGGTGAACATTGAAACATATTCCTAAAATGTAAGCTCTACACTGTACGGAGTATCATGTAATTGAAGGTGTGGAGTTAAGTAACATATAACGGCAAGGGGGAAAGAGAAAGAGACCGCCCGCGCCCTGTTCACCGACGACCAGGATGAGGAGATGTTCGATGCGGAGGCAGCCGATTTGGCTGATGATCAAACGTCCCCATCCACTCCTGTAGATGATGGGCATCGCGATGAGTCGGAGGACGAGCCACGGGATGAGTCACAGCTCCCGTTTTTGGACCCTACTACGCTGTGGTAAGTAAATATCATGATATGGAAGATCAGATACATTTGTTTTATATTACATATTTCGAACTTGTTTAACATTGTTGTTTCCCGTTTGTGATAGGTTCGATGATCCTAAGGTTCAGAGTGCGGTATCCGGTACGATTACTGGATACTACCGAGGCCCTTGGAGGAACTTCTTCGAAGTGCCTCCAGCTACGAAGGAACACTGGTGGAACTTGTTCGGCTTATGATATTTTTGGGTCTTGGTTAATACATGTTTTAGCTATTGTATTGATTTAGTTTTGTGTATAACTTTTGTATTTTATCATTTGCAGGCACAATACAGATGGGCACCTCAGATGGACGAGCTAGTGAGGATCACATTCCGGAGGAGGGTAGCCACACGCCTGCGTGACATGTTCCACACCATCACGCACAAGATGAAAGGCGCCAGGCCAAGTTGGTTGAGTGTGGAGCTCCACAAGCAGATGATGGACATTGTTGCTAACGATACAACTTACAAGGAGAGGTCGGCACAGAACCAGAAGAACAGAAGGGGCGGTTCTATGGAAAATCCCGTCTGAGGGACCCACTTTCAGGGTTCGTTGGCAGCTACCCAACATGAAAAAAGGATGGTAAGTTTGTTTAAAAATATCTTATATTACAAGACATTTGTGATTTCAATGTAACAAGGGTTTGACATGGTTAACGATTATTCCTTTTTTTTTTGTATCAAAGGCGGCGAAGAACAAGGGCCAGCTACCAACAGCTCCTGAGCTGTTTCTGAAGACACACTTCAAGGAATTTCCTGGGAAAGGCACAGTGCCAGTAAACCCCACAGCTCAGCAGATGGCGGTAACAAATTCCCTAAACTTTTTTCCTTGGTTCATTATTCATGAATAGGTGTAGATAAAGAAATAGTTCATTAAGTTCAATTTGGCTCGAAATGTGTCCCAAAACGTATGGACTTGTATTTTTTTGTGATTCAAGTCATGAACCCCTTAGAATGCCTAAAATATGCATGTTTAGAGAAATAAATAGGTCATTTGGTTGAAACGTAGTAAATGGGCTAAGACTAGGTCATATACTTCATAGTTGGTTCAATTTGGCTCGAAATGCGTCCCAAAACGTATGGACTTGTACTTTTTTGTGATTTCAAATCATGAACCCCTTATAATGCCTAAAATATGCA